AATTGCACCAGATCTGGTGGCACACACCTGTCATTCCAGTACTTTGGAGCTGATGCAGGAGGATAGAGAGTTTGAAGGCAACCTGAGCTATACAGTGAGACCCTGTCTCAAAAACAAGTTAAACATAAATTTATCATTAGCAATTTCTGCCTAGATATCAACTAGGAGAAATAAAAAGATATGTTCACACAAAAGCTAGTAGTAAACATTCCTTGTAGCCTTATTTAATTAGCCAAAAAATGGAAAAAAATCCAAATGTCCATCAGTTAATGGATAAATAAAAACTCGTCTATCTATACCATGGAATACTTTTTCAGCCATGAAAAGTAATGAAGTACTGATAAATACTGCGGCTTGGACGAATCTCAAAGACATTATGTTAAATAAAAGAAGCCAGATGCAGAGCTGGCAGCATGGCTTAGGTGGTAGAGCACCTGCCCTGCAAGTGTGAGGCCCTGAGTTCAAACCTCAGTGTCACCAAAAAAAAAAAAAAGGAAGCCAGATGAAAAAGGCCATATATTATATGGTTCCATTTATATGAATGTCAAATCCATTTATATGAATGTCAAATCCATAGGTTTGTGGTTGCCTAGGCACAGGAATAAACAAACAAAGCCAAGGCTTCTTTTTGGAGTAGTAAAAAATGTTCTAAAATTAGATTTTGGTAATGATTACACAACAGTAAATCACTGAGTTGTAGACTTAAAAAAATTTTTGGTATGTGAACTATACCTCAATAAAGCTGTTAGCATAAAGAAAAAGTATGGCCTCCTCTCCCCTCCTTCCCTAAAAATAATATATTTGGAATAAGGATCTTAGAATTATATAATAATAAGGAGTGGAGTAAGATGTGTTTAAAGACTTCTGATTGGTTATTTAAGATAAAGTTATGGGGCTAATATAATTAAATCTTTAGGGTATTTCTCTTGAAGTTTCCAAAAGACTAAACATCTTTCCTCTGAAGCAATTTAAAATTATGGCTTAAGAGACTGCAGAAGTCCCCAAGAGCAAGAAATGTTTAAATTGCCTTCCTGAGCCCAAAGAAGGTTCTTTAGAGAAATTTCCTGTTCTTCACAATAAGGCAATGTTTTCACTTGGGCTTCAAGGTCAAATTAAATGTGCCATATTCTCAGACTGAGATGCTCAGTATTTGTGCTCCCTTTCCTTTTGAAATAGCAAAGCAAAAGAAAAATATCTTTCCTTTGGAAACACACTTGACTATACTGTAAAGAAAGGTTTGAAATAATTTGAAATAATTTAGAAATGATTTTTGTCATAAGTGTTTTCCAGCTAATATGTCTTGTGATATTAAGTCTCTACAAAGGTAATCTTTCTTCAGAAACTCATCAGCCTCATGGAAAATTTTGTAGAATAGCCTGAAAACAGAAGATCAAGAAAACCAATTTACTATGTTGCAACCTGAGGTAGGTCAACTTTCCTTTCAGAAGTAATAGCTGAAAACTTACTAGAAAGACAAATCAAAGTGAGAGTCAGTCCTTATCAACTGAGTTCAAATAAGTCATGAGTTGCAGGGATGGGATATATTTTACTAGAGAGAAGATACAGAGAATAGGAATAAAAATTCCAAGAACATTGTCTTGGTTATAGTTAAAAAATTGAGAAAAATGAAAAAAATATGAACAAAAGAATAGTTACAAATCCAAAGTAACTTGGACATCTAAAGCAGATGGATGTCTAGGTCTGTAATTTCTAACTGGGTAAAGTGATCATTTGGTCAGAATATAGTTTTCCGGTCCTCCTTCATTACAAGTTCCTATGTCTTTAATGGTATCATTTCTCCTTGGTCTTATTAAGTTAATGCACATTAGTCAGCAGATTTGCTCTCTTGTTCAGAGTGCAAGGCAGGGTGTTGTCACCATATTCTGATTTTTTAGCAACTTAACTCATAACACCAGTCCAGTTTTGTTTGGTTCAGGTTAGAAAATGTTTGTCTCATGCTAATCATGAGTAGACAATTTTTTAAGTTGGTCCCTGTCCTGGAGCCTGTACCTGGGCATACTGTATTGTTCTTAAACACTTCTTTGGGTTTGTGAAAAAAAAAATGAAAAGGAGTAGTGCATCATCAGCTAACAGAAACAATTTTGACTTATATTTGTATAAGTATTGTGGGGAATTGTTTTTAACTTTTTGAAAAACAATTTTTAAAAAATTAAAAAATTTCCATATGTTGCTCTAAGGCTTTTAATGGTGACACTGGATGTAATATTTGTGACACATATTTATATTTTAGATGAATAAATTGAAATTGATTTTGTTAAAATGTGAGTAATAGAGGGGGTAAATATGATCCAATTTCACTATATGCATGCATGGAAATGTCCTGATGAAACCCCTTGCTATTTAAAATTTAATATATGCAATTAAAAAAAGCTAGCCTGTGAGTTGCTTGTTTTAAACTGCAATGGACTTTTCTTGTAATTGTACAAAATTTTCACTGAAAAGTGAGTAGACTTTGGTAGAATGTGCATCCATTCCAAACCATAGACGTAATGAAAAATAGGTTGAATTGGCTAAGACACCAAATACCTGAGAAGGTCTGACACATGAATTTTAAAGATACTCTTATAGAAGGTAAATCTGGGAAATGTAAAAGAACTCAAAGAAGTAAACAGAAAATGAAGGAAGCCAAAATAAGGCTTACTGTATGCTAGATGCCTCATATGCATGAATCCTATAATGAGTCTTAAAATTCTCATGTTACAAATGAGGATACTGACACTCAGAGAACTAAGAAACTGCCAAGTTAGGATTTAAATGCATGTTCTTTCTATTATGCAAAATGGACTGACAGAATAATAACTTGTAGTGTGGCAGTGTTTGGAAGTATGATTCTCACAGCGAGATTGTTTCTCAGCTATCAGAAGGACAGATTTGGGTGGCTTTATTTATCACAAAGCTTAAGAAAGGTGAATCTGGAATTCAGATTATAAAAAACCATTCATATTTAAAAGAATCTTAATGTATAGAGGGTGAAGTTTATGGAAATAAGGTTCAAATAGGATCAAAAGAGAAATACCCTAATAATGGCCAAAGGTAGATTTGTGTAGTTTGAAGGTGGCTAAAATAGGTTCGAGTGATTCAGTTCAGACCTTAAACTTAAGCCAAGTTTATGAACACAGCAAAATTACCTACACATTAATTTTTTTCCAGAAATTATTTTTGTTTTGTGAATTAATTAGAGCACTTCCAGTAGATTCTGTGTTCATGGACAGGATTTTACTGGAAGTTTGTATGTATGTGTAGATTGCTGGGTGGTACTGAAGGAAGAAGGGGTTGTTCCTGAGGAAAAATTGAAAGAGATGACTTGAGATTTTCTGAGGCAACATTTACCTTTCTTGACTTCTGTAATAGTGGATATTTCCCTGAGAAATCACTCACAGTGAAAAGTGTCAGAGAACTTTGTAAAAGTGCCTTTTGGAAAGTGTCTCTTAGTTGTAAGCTTTCTTTTAGACCCCTGGTAGTTAGACCTAAGTAGCAATCAATTAAAATATGTTTGCTTTAGTGAATGAGAAGATAAACCATAGACAAGGACATAATATGTGCAAATTACATATATGATAAAGGACTCATTTCTAGAATAAATGAAGAACTCTAAAATGTCAACAAAACAACTAAATTAAAAATAGGCAAAAGATTTGAGCATTTTACTAAAGAGAATATAAGGATGGTGAAAAAGTACATGGAACTATGTTCAACATCCTTAGTCATTAGGGAAATAGAAACTAAGACATGATGAAACATCTCTGTGGGTTAAAAATTGCTGACAATGCAAAATTATGATGATAGGAAGCAATTGGGATTCTCACAGAATGCTGGTTGAAGTGCACATGTGATACAGCTACCCTGGAAAACTTTTCATGTGATTATTATTCTACTACTGGGTCTTTACCCTAGAAATACCTGTAAGTATTTGTACCCTAGTATTAGGCAATAATAACTTGAATCAATATTAGAGGCTTTATGGTAAGTGAAAGAAGCACAACTTTGTTCCATTTCTGTGACATTCTGGATAAAAAACTATAGGGACAGAAAAGGCATCAGTGCTTGACAAGATTTTGGAGTAGCTGGAAGAGGAAACTAAAAATAGGATAGTATGAGGAACTTTTGGGATCTGTCAAAGCTGGTTATGGAAGTACTTACACAAATCTGTACATTATTGTTTAAATCTTAACTGAACAGTCAAAACTAAAAGTCAATTTATTGTGTGATGCTTAGATGTATGGCAAAAAAAAAAATAAAATAGAAGCATCATTCTTTCTCATGCCCTTCCAAAAGACAAATGCCTTTAGGAAGAACAAGAATATTTCAGATTATTGGGCTTTTTCTGTATTTGAGCTTCTTAAAAAAATTATTATCAGGCACCCAATAAGCATGGATTTCTTCCTGGGCATTCTTCCTGCTATTAATCTACTTCTTTTGCTATTTTACTACTTGTGGGTTACTGTTGACTTCCATTCTGAGAGCCATGCTACTCTTTTGAAGTAGCTCATCACATCTCTGATTCTGTATTGCTTTTATGGTTTATAGAAAAATTTCAGATAAGGGTGGACCACAAGGAAGGCAGGTTTACCTTTGAGCTTAGGCTTTGCTATTATGCTATTTTCACATTTGTTATTTGACTTTAGGTTTAACTCTCTTACTTTTACATTTCTTTATCTTTAAAATAATAATATTGTGGTTTAAATGATATAATGTATGAAGAAATACTTAACAAAATTCTTAGCCCATAATGAATGATCAATGCAGTAGCTTCTCCCTCATGCTCCTCTTCTTACATTCTTATTTTTATTTCATTTCTTTTTCTCCATTTCACCCCTTCCTTTTTTATTTCTCCATTTCACCCCTTCCTTTTTTATTTCTCCCTTCCTCAATTGAGATTATCACAAATTTTTATATTTCTGCTTTGGTATAATTGGTATTGTGAAGAAATTGTTACTTAAAAATTCTTTCAATTCTGCAGGTAAAAGAAAGACAGTAAAATGGAATGGGAAAACCAAACCGTTCTGGAAGAATTTTTTCTCCAGGGGCTTTCTGGTTACCCAAAGCTTGAGCTAATATTCTTTGTGTTCTTCTTAACAATGTATTTGCTCATCCTTCTGGGCAATGGCACCCTCATTACAATCAGCATTTTGGATTCTCACCTTCACACTCCTATGTACTTCTTCCTGGGAAACCTCTCCTTCTTGGACATCTGTTTTACTACTTCCTCCCTTCCTTCCACATTGATGATTTTCTTCTCAGAAAGAAAGTCAATTTCGTTCTTAGGCTGTGCAGTGCAGATGTTCCTTGGGTTGGCCATGGGGACAACAGAGTGTGTACTTCTAGGCATGATGGCCTTTGATCGCTTTGTAGCCATCTGTCACCCTCTGAGATACCCCATCATCATGAGCAAGGATTCCTATGTGCCCATGGCAGTTGGGTCCTGGTTTGCAGGAGTTGTCAACTCTGCAGTACAAACTGCATTTGTTATACAATTGCCTTTCTGCAGGAATGTCATCAATCATTTCCTCTGTGAAATTCTAGCTGTCATGAAGATGGCTTGTGCTGACATCTCAGGCAATGAGTTTATCATGCTTGTGGCCACAACGTTGTTCACTTTGATGCCACTGCTCTTGATTGTCATCTCTTACTCATTAATCATTTCCAGCATCCTCAAGATCCAGTCCCCTGAGGGGAGAAGCAAGGCCTTCTCTACCTGCTCAGCCCACCTAACTGTGGTGATAATATTCTATGGAACCATCCTCTCCATGTACATGAAACCCAAGTCTAAAGACACACTTAATTCAGATAACTTGGATGCTACTGACAAACTCATATCCATTTTCTATGGTGTAATGACTCCCTTGATAAACCCTATAATCTATAGTCTCAGAAACAAGGATGTGAAGAAGGCACTGAAAAATCTGAACAGAAGATTCTTTAACAAGTGAATGGAAATGGTATTGGGTTGTGACCAAATTAGACACTGTCAAAATTTAGGATGGAATTATGGTTAGTTTTACTTTTATCCTTTCCCTTTCATGAATTTGTTAAAATTTTTATAATGAAATATAACATTTCAAAATTATTACATCTGCATAAAGAATTTTCAAGATACGAGAAAGCAGAATGAGGAAAAAACTGAGAGCCACTTTCTGACATTTCAAACAGCATCCTCATATTCTGCATTTTTTGTAACATTGTTGCATGTTACATGTCTTTGTACGTTCACTTGTTTGCACACATACCATAATTTATAGGAAAAATTCATCAACTACTTCAGTATAAATAAAACTTTCTTATGAAAAGGAATAAACAGAAAAACCTCAAAATTCTTCATATATATTTTCCATTGAAGAGCTTTCTTTTTTAGTTTTGCATTATAGTCTCCAAAACTTCATTAACCATAAAATACCAAACATTTTTTCAGCACTTACAAAATGTTCTGTGGCACTCTAAGGAGGTTGAGTGTTGGGACTAGACACTTATTATTGTCGGGGAGGTAGATACATAGAGCTTAAGAATGAAGTTCTATGTAATCAATAAAGATTTTCTTGTTTTATATCCTTTATTTCAGCTTGCATGTAGCTTCAACATAACAAAAGTTCAAAATTAAAAATGTGTTTGAAAATTGGTCTACCAGTTCAGATAATAATACAGATAAACGTTTAGTTGGATGGTGTGTCACATCATTTACAAGTTCCCATTTATAAGAAGCCAATTTCTTTGTTATCCTGAGGAAATTCCAGTGCTTTTACAAATCTTAGAAGCCTAACCAAGCTGTGGATTTTTAGCAAGAATACCTGTATTCATGCCTTGTCTCTGTTATGAACTAGCTTTGTGACCTTGTTGATCTGAGGAAGCAGAGGATTGAGGCATGTCAGACAAGACAAAACATTATCTTTCTCCTCCTTGGCTTTCTTCTTCACTTTTTCCTCTATTTGAAGAACACTTCTAATTTGCTACCTAAGGTGAATGAGAAAGTGTGCTCAGGAGTGAACCACATTCTAGAAAAGCTACTTAGTTGAACAATTTTTGTACTGATGGATCAATAAATTCAGGTTGCTGGGCACAAACATTTTGTACAGAAAAATAAGAGTTAAATGTTTGTGGAATCTTCACATGTACTCATTCATTTTCTTTTCAACTTTACTTTTTAATCTTCATGGAAGGAATATGAAGTAGTCATAACCTCTTTGTGCTTATACCTAACTTCCATTATTGTTATTTTCAGATTTAATCTGATGACAAGGACAGAGACCATTGATATTTCAGATCTAGATCCTAACAAAACAAGCTATAAGAATCTATTAGTTCCTACACATCAGCTCATAATATGTTTTTTATCCAAAGAACTCCAGGAGTCAGGCATTTTATGTTTGACCCCAGGGGATCTTATTCAGATACTGATTTTGTTTTATGCACAGCTTTAGTCCAATCAAATCTATAAACTCTCTGGAATGACTTATCTAACTCCTAGACATATCAGATTTATAAATTTTGGTAGAAAGATTCATTAAGGCAATTTTAGAGCAGATATTTATCCTCATAGAGGAGATCAGGAAATTTTTTTTCATACAGAATTGTGGAGTCAAACAGTCTGAAGAAGAGAAACATATGTCTCCCATCTTGATTTATTGATGTGTTCAAATTTACTGAGCAAATAATACATTATTACTATAATACTGATAGGCCTAATTTTAATATTTGAGTCCCTAGAAGAATTTCATTCAGAAAATTTATTTTAAAAGCTCATGGAGGATGATTTGGTTGTTATTGTTAGCATAGTAACATTTCTAACTTTTGTAGTGTAACAGGTGGGGAGAGAGAAAGAGAGAGAATGTGAGAGAGAGAGAAAGAGAGAAGTGTGTATTTTCCTGTGTGATTGTTCCACGAGATTGCAAAATCTACAAGGGTATATGTTTATCTGGTTTCCCCCTCCTCTGTATTTTCATTGCACTCAATTTAGAAACAACATATAAAATAACATAAAATATCATTTGATATACAATTTAATTTCACAAATGCATATCTTTATATTTTATTCAGGTCCCCAAACAGGTTCAATGTTAGGATTTAAGAGCAGAGATACAACAGAAAAGCCAAAGTTGCAGTTATGCTCATCTAACAGATTATTTTATATGCTCACTACACTTTTATACCTACAAAATTTTTAAATGTGCTAAGTCTGAGATCATATGAACTTTCTATGGCTCTGGAGATGTTGAAATGGACACTTAAAATGTAGAAATATATTGGTTATTGATTAATTCATATGTACCATGTCACTAAAATCATATGACATGGGTTGTAGTATCATTACTTCGCAGATGAGGCTATAAAACTTATGGGACTTAACACACCTTTCCTAAACACCTCATGGCATATACATTACGGAGAAGCATATACATCCCATTATTCTTTCTTGCTTCAGTTAACCTTTTTACTACATCAAGCTATTTTCCCAGGTCTCTGATCACAAGATCTAATATCAGTACCTCTCCACAGAGTATCTAAAATAATTAGTGCCTATCAAGAAATGATGCGTGATCACTATTTATAGGAATTCAGTCTTAAAATAGAAGACCTGAGGTTAGCTGGGATGTAAAAAGAGGGGCGATTGCATTAATATTACAGAAAAAACTCTTGAAGATAGCTAAAAGATTTTTCTTATTCCAGTAGAGATCACATTTAGGTTACAAAAATGAATGTGTTTCATATTTATGGTATAGACATAACATTTTATCCTGTTTTTGTCTTTTTGTTCTTTTGGTGCTGGGGTCAAACTCAATTCCTCACACATGCTAGGTAAGTGCTCTATCACTGAGCTACATCCCAGTCCAACACTTTCTCCTTGAAATTATAAAATGTTGTAGTAGATCTTGTCCTTTAAAAATCATGAACTTTCATCCATTTTGTGAAAAATTGTTTCCTAAGTAATGTTAGATTCCATGCAATTAGGTTCTGGAATTTTCTGAGAATATGCCATTTATTCATTATTTTTTCATTTATTAAGGAATATTTATTGTGCAGTCATTGAATGCTAGGCACTATGCTAGCCATCAGGTACAAAATCATAAATAAAAGAAGAAACTTTAATAGGGAAAATGGACATGTAACTTGAAACCAAAGTGATGAACTATAGACCTGAATTTGAGAGACAATAATTGCCTGCATGCTCTGACACAATGTTCTAGGTGCTTCTCAAATTAATCAGAGAACTACTTAGTCACTTGAGCAAATGTGGCTTAGCAGAACCATTCTTGAGGAGGGCACCAACAGGAGTAGACTTGAGGCCTCTCAAAAGGTTTATAGGCATAGGAATTTAGGTGGAAGACAGATAAATAGAATAAATGTACTTATTTCTGAGTAAATATGAGACACCCTTCAGGAAAGCTCAGATATAAAAGAGTTATTTGCACTGTCTTGTGTATCTTCGACTTGTCTTTTGTTGTTTATTTAATGTATAAGAACACTCTATTCTAGCTGGGCGTTGGTGGTAAATACTGTAATCCTAGAACTCTGGAGGCTGACGCAGGAGAACTGAAAATTTGAGGCTTTCCTGGGTTGCATCGTGAGTTCCAGGCCAGCTTGGGCTACATAGTGAGACTGTCTCAAAAACTCAAACAACAGCAAAAGGAAATGCAACTAGAACAATTAAAAAAAAAAAAAAACTTTTTTAGCTTCTACGTATTTTCCTACAGTTTATAATCAAGCTTCACTGATTCTTCAACTCAATACAATCTGGCCTTGGGTGGTGCTGTTATTAAGGTATGCATTGTTAAATATGCATAATTTTCAGCCCTTATCTTATGTGATCTCTCTGTAGCATACATGCCTTTTTGGATCACAACCATTTATATATCTAAAATTCCAAAAATAGTATATCTTTATGGTAAAATAGTCAAATACTATAAAATGTACAGAGTATAAATTCAAATATAATTTTGATATAACATTTATATATAACTTTAAATTATGCATATAAAATTTATATTATAATTAATATTTAGCAAATTAATATGCATATTCAAAGTACATATACATTTAGTAGATGTTTAAACTATGATAAACTATAACTATTATTTTATATATATTCAGTTTCATTGTTCTGCATTTGGCTTTTTCACTCAAAACACATTGGCCTCCTCAAGATGCTGCTGTATATATACATGGAGCTTACAGCCACTTAACCACAGAAGCAAAGCAGAGGCTTGCAACTGCTGATAGGCAGTAGCTGAGCTCACAGACAGTAGCAGAGCTCACAGACACTTGACCACAAAACCAAAACAGAAGCTTGTGGCTAGAGGTTCAGCAAGGAAACCGCAATAGCAAAAGCAGAGCAACAGAAGTAAGGAATCCCCTGCCCCACTTTGTTTTGCCCTGGTAGAGACAGGCTTGTACCCAAATTAGGAATGTAAAAGCTGGCCTGCTTATGTATTAAAGTAATAGCCCTACTGTGTTCAGGGCTCAGACTTTCGGAGTTATCCTTCTGAGCTGCGGCACTGCCAATAAAGTGCTGCTTCCAGATCTTGATGTCATGGTCCCTTTGTTCCTGTTACACTAGGGATTGAACTCAGGGCCTCACACTTGCTAGGCAGGCCCATTCTCATTTGAGCCAAGCTCCAGCCCTTTTTGCTCTAGTTATATATTTTTTAAAATTTTATTTTATCATTTTTACATTTATTTACATATGTATGTATTATTGGGGCCAACTTACTCCCTCTGGCCCCGAGCTTCTAGATAGAACCCGTTCTGCCCTCTTGTTCTCTGATTTTGTTGAAGAGAAAACATAAGAGATAATAAGAAAAACATAGCATTTTTGCTAGTATGAGATAAAGATATCTATATAAATATATATGTACACATAATTTCTAGTGTTGTTACCATGCATATGTGTATTACAACACATATTGGTTCATCTCTACCAGACTTCTTCCTTACTTCCTAG